TCCCTGGGGTCCCAGCCAGAGCTCAGCACCAGCCTGGAGCCACCCTGCCCTGGGGCTGCCCTTTCCCAAGCTCCAGGAGCTGCTTTGTTCCAGCCCTTTCCCAATTTGAGTCAGGAGGTTGCAGAGTGGAGGGAGGAAGAGCTGGCATCCCACGGGAGCAGCCCAAGTTGTGTAAGGACAATGTTTGGCAGTTTCCTCAAGGATTTGTTTTGTAATTTGATTTTCTATTAAAGCCCCAGAGCTGAAGGCACAGGTACCTTCCCAGACTGAGTGGCAACATTCCCTGGGATTCCCTGCAGCCAGACCAGGGCTCTGCCACTGGGAATATCCCTCAGGGCTGGGAAGCCACAGCTCCAGGGACCAGCCCCACCACGGAGCAGCCCCTGGAGGAGCCCAATTTATTCCCTTGCCCGAGCCACCCACTGGGAGAGGCCTTGGACAACAACAAAGCCACTTCCCAGGAGCTCCAACCCAGCTGAAGGGCCTTTAAAGTTTGTTCAACTGTGCCAGAGTCCCTTTGAACTCCGTGGCCACCAAGGGGGCTGTTCCAAACAAAAGCCTGTTTACCAGAACACGGTGTCTGAGATGGAAACCACTGCAAATTCTGCAGGAAGTTTTAAAAAATAAAATCATTAAAAGTCCATCATGATGACATAAATCCCCCAGGTTCTTGCAGGGCTGGTTCCCCTCCCAGCTGGAGGAAGGGTACATTTAGAAAGAGGAACCCAGTGGGTATGGAAGTGCCTGGCCAGCAGCTCCTGCTCTGTTTAGCAATCCCTGCAGGATGCAATCCTGTGAACACCCCAAACAACATCTGCCAGCCTGGGAGCCTGAACTCACAACAACTGCAGAGGAGCACGAATGGGAAGCTGGAGTCAGCTCACAGCACAGGATACAGCACAGCCATGGGATCCATGACCTGCAAGGTCTTTTCCAACCTGAATTCCACGGACAGAACAGCCCCAGCAGGACTTGCAGGGAGCTGTCAGTGGAACAGATTCCTGTGGAACCTCCTGGAGGTCCCTGTGGCTGCAGGGTCCTGGTGGGGAGGGTTCATCTCCCTCCCTGCCTGACCACGGGCTCCAAAGAGCACAAAACAGGGAAATCCCACCTCCAGTGCTGCCAAGGATGGGAAACTGGGAACTCTGTCCCTCACCTGCCCTCCCTGACAACCTCACTCCATGTTTGAGGAAAACAAGCAGCAAGGTCTTTCCCAGGGGTGAATTCTCCCTTCTCCATACCCAAACCCATCAGAACAGCACAAGCTGGGGGCAGATGTTGCTGATGCCAGGGAAGAGCTGCCACAGCAGACAGCAGAGGCTGTGGCAGCCATTTCCATGATTGCAGAAACTGCTTGTGGTCTTTTCTTTCTAAAACGAAATTCAGTTTTACCCCATTCCTCATTATCTCCCAAACCTCCAGGAAAAACCAACCCAAGCTCTTCCAGCTGTGCCACCAGGCTCTGGTGGAGGGCAGCTCTGGGGGATCAATGACTCCAGGGTGAAAGAAATCAGCTTTTTGGCAGATCAGCTTTGAGATGTGAGCTGTGAGCTGTGGCTGACCAAGTTCAGCCTTTTTGTGGCTCTGTGCTGGTACCTGGTTTAGTTTCTTCCTAAACCTCTATTGCCAAGGAGATGCTGATGAGATGCCCACAGAGGTGGGATCAGAGCCTCAGGTTAGTACAAGAGAAAATCTTCAGCAGCAAGTGAGAAACCATGGAAATGCACGAAAAGCAAAGCAAGCCAGTTAAGGATTTAATTAAAATCCATCGATTGCTTAAAAAATACTTTTTAGTGTGACAGCTCCTTTCAAAGCAGTGTGAAAGGGTCACCAGGAGGACACTGTGATGGTCATCACCTGATGGACAATGTGTCCAAGCCAGCCTCTGGGAGGTCTGGCCCCAATGCTGAGCTCTCTGTGGAGAGAGCTGACTTTGGGTTGACGTGGCTGAGATTCCAAAGCCTTTGCTTTGCATCCCAAGGAATTCTGCTGGTGGGTTTTGGCACTGAGAGCCCCCACGCTGAACCCAGGCCCTGCAGGAGCTGCCCTGAGACCTCACAGCCAAAAAACCCTGCAGCTGGAGTGGCAGGTGACAGACTGAGGTCCCCTCTCCTGGAGCAGGTCCAGCAGGAGCTGTGATTTCCCATCACTGCTCAAAACCATCTCAGCCTTCAGCTGGAAGAAGCCAAAACTCAAGTTCAGATTTTGTGATTCATGACCTTATTTATGCCAAAGCCTCTCCACTGGCATTGGATCTGAGATGCTCCAACTGATTGCACTGGCCAAAAACCTTGGGGTCTGCCCTCTGGATATTCCCAAAACAGCTGCAAATCTTCAGGGATTAACTCAGCTCCCAGTTGGGAATCTCCATACTGTCACTGGGAATGTCCACACTGTCAATGAGCTGGATTGGGAATCTCCACACTGTCACTGGGAATGTCCACAGTGTCACTGGGCTGGATTGGGAATCTCCATACTGTCACTGGGAATGTCCACACTGTCACTGGGAATGTCCACAGTGTCACTGAGCTGGATTGGGAATCTCCATACTGTCACTGGAATGTCCACAGTGTCACTGGGAATCTCCACACTGTCACTGGGAATGTCCACAGTGTCACTGAGCTGATTTGGGAATCTCCACACTGTCACTGGGTATCTCCACAGTGACACTGAGCTGATTTGGGAATCTCCATACTGTCACTGGGAATGTCCACAGTGTCACTGGGAATGTCCACACTGCCACTGAGCTGATTTGGAATCTCCAGCCCAGCTGCCATGGAATAAAGAGCTGATTGTCTCCCTGATTGACACAGGGCTGGCAAAGTGGGAGTGTGGAGCTGCACCTGGACACGGCCACAGAGCTGGGCAGGAGCTGCCCCTGCCCTAACACAGAGTGAGTGAGCACCAGGGTGTCCTCAAAGCCCCTTCACCCCACAGAACTCTGCCTCAAGGAGAACCCAGTGGGAAGTGACAGCTCCTGGAGCACCCCAGCTTCCCAATGGCCAAGATGAAAAGAAAATGAGGAATAGTTCACCAAGCCACCTGAACAAAGCACAAAGATCTGCAACAGACACAGCAAAGCAGCTCCAGTGGGGGAAGATCAGAATTCCAGGTGATGTCAGAGCACAGAGGCACAATGAGCAATGGGTCAGGAACTGCAGCTTTCCAAAGGGTGACACTTTGGAGCAAAGAAAGCAACGTGTCCCTCAGGGGACAGTGCTGGCTACTGGGGAACTACAGGAATTCTGGGGTGCTCAGGGATGGGGTGGCACCACCCACAACAGCAAACCAGGATTTCACATGCAGATCATGGATTGTGCTCAGGGATTGCTCCTGGAGCAGGAGGGTGGTGCTGGCATCTCATCAAGCCAGACCTGATGCACGAAGGAGGATCAGGCCAGGCTCTGCTCTTTACAGCAGAGCTCACTTTCATTACTCAGAGGTGGGCAGGCCCTGGCACAGGTGCCCAAAGCAGCTGGGGCTGCCCCTGGATCCCTGGCAGTGCTGGACAGGGCTTGGAGCAGCCTGGGACAGTGGGAGGTGTTCCTGCCATGGCAGGGGTGGCACTGGATGGGCTGTAAGGTCCCTTCCCACCCAGCCATTCCATGATCTCCAGCAGCCCCAGGAGGCTCCAGCCAGCCAGGACATCTGTCCTTCTCCACAGCCCAGAGCCAGCTGGTCCCATCTCAGTGGCACATTCCAGGGGAAACACAGCAGGACAAAGGGAACAGCCCCAGGCAGTGCACAGAGACCCCAGGGAATGTGCCAGGGCAATCCCCAGCCCTGATTTCTCTCTGCAGGTGGTTTAGGGGCAAACATGGCTCCCTGAGCAGGGCCACGAGGAGAGGGAGCACAGAGCTGCTCATGCCATGCTGGATGAAGGCCTGGCACAGAGAAGCATGGAATGAGCAAGCCAAGGACTTGGCCTTGTGCTGACTGCAGCTCCTGGGGCTCTCAGCAGGAGCTCCCCCTCAGTGCTCACTGCCAGGGCTGGGCACGGTGGGGAGCAGCACCCTGGAGGGCTGGCTCAGCAGCAGGGAGCTGCCAGGATCTGAGGGTGGGGATCCAAACCCAGAGGGTGGCAGGGCCCCGAGTGGGGAGCACAGAGACACTCGGAGCCCCCCACATCCAGGGTCCAGCAGCACGTGGGGGTGTGAGTTTGGGGGAGTGGGACAACATCAGCCAACCTCTGCTTCCCACCCCCACCTGGGCCAGGTAAGGCAGCTCAGGACCCCCCCAGGCACTCTGAACACTCCAACCAGGCTCCAGCAGATCCCAAAGCAAAGGAGCCCCCAGAGGCAAGCACAGCCCTCACACACACACAGAGGGCACAGGCAGCACCCCCTGGCAGAGCCCTTTGCAATTCCTCCTCCTGGCTCGTACCAAGGACTCTCCTGGCTGCTCTGCAGGGCTGGCAGGGCTGCAGGGGCTGCAGGAGGTGAGCAGAGCCTCGGGGCAGTGCTGGCAGCAGGAGCAGCTCCGGTGCCTGGGACTGGGGAGTGAGGGGCCGGATCCTTGTGTCATCTCAGAATAACCTTGTGCGTTTCCTCGAGCTCAGAGTCCCTGCTTGTCCTGCCTAGGATTCCTGAGGAACCACCTCCATCAGCTTCTGGCACAGCACGGTGGTGGAGACTGCAGAGAAAGCAAAGGAGAGGTCAGGGATCACCCCCAGCACAAACCGGGCTCCATGAGGGAAGGGCTGAGCCTCTGCCTCCCCACCCTGAGTCCAAGTACAGCTGAAGGATTGAAATATTCCAAGAATTCCATTCCATTCCATTCCATCTACTCAATAAATCACTTTCAAAGTTCCTGTGTTTCTCAGTGGACATTTGCAAAATTACCACTGTCTGTTCCCAGAATATTTTCAATATTCTCTTTACAATCCTTTGGTGGAGGAAAGCAATGAATATGGTAATTTACTACCCAGGCATTGCAAAAATGGCTTTTCCAGGAACTGAGCCCAATACCCAGGATAAAAAAGTGAGGGTGGGACAGAGGAACAGACAGAGACAGGGGGAAAAGAAGAATAACAAGTGCTGAGTGGTGCTGAAAGCTTTTTTCTTCCTCATGAAACACCCAGCTAAGGCTGGGCACTTCTCCTTGCCTGCTTTTCTAGGTCAGCCCCTTGCAGGAGAGCAGGGAAGCAGCTGCTGAGCTCAGTTACTTGGGCAGCAGGGATTGACTTTCTGGGCTCAGTTGCTGAGGTTTTGTGTGCCAAGCACAGCCCCTCCATCCCTCCAAACACACCCTGGCCTTGTGGCAGCTGGTGGAAAACCCTGGAGCAGATACCTTAAAAACAAACCCGAGAGAAAACATCCAGGGGAGCTTCCCTTCCCTCTGCTCTGCATCACAGGGGGATGCCAAGGAAAGCTCTGCCTGGATCCCAAATGCCAGCACTGCCTAAGCCATGGGTTGGGACTAATTGTGGGTTTTCAGCTGTCAAACTGAGGCCAGCTGTGCTCAATCCTTCCTACACCGCTGGGAAAGGATTCTTTGCTGAGCAAAGGCTTGGCCCTGAGCTTTTCTAGGAGCAGGGAATTCTGCTCTGCTGCTAAAAACTTCTTTGGCAGGATTAAAACCCCCTAAAAAACATGGTCATGGTCCCAGACTTTGCCATTACTGCAAATCAGGATGCATTTGGGACGCTTGGCACACATGGCAATCATCAGAACAAACTTGTTCCCATGAAAGCAGAATGGAGCAGAGCCAGGATTCTGGAAGCTCCTCCAGAGGGAGCAGAGCCTGCACTGCAGCACAGCACTGGGAAACCTTCTGGGAGCCAGAGCTGCTCCTGCCTGGAGATACTCACAGATGCCTTGGAGAACCCACTTGGGCTTGTTTTGCCACCAGACCCCGAAGAAGTAAATGGGGATCCCACTGAGGATGATGGCAAAGCCAATCCCACACTCCTTGGGCGTCATCCAGAAGGAAACGGCGATGAGGAACAGGCAGGCCAGGATGAAGAAGATGGGCAGGCAGATGTTCACCTGAGCAGGGAGCAAGGGACAGCTTAGGAGATGTGCCAGGGGAGGCTTTCCAGGAGTTTATTCAGCCTGGGAGGGGCAGAATTATGTTTCTCCCATGGCCAAGAGCCTTTCTCAGCACCTTTTTGGACCTCAGTTCCATAATTCCATATCCAAATCATCACCAAACACCAAAGCCAGCAGAGACACAGCACAAGCTGGGGCTGTTTCCCAGGGGACCCCAAGCAGGGCACCCACCAGAGCAGCCCAGCTTTGAGAAGAAAACCCCAAAAGCCAAGGGAAGAGGAGCACAGATTCCCTTGGGGAAGGCACCAGTCCAGGCCCGTGGGTTTGTTTCCCTGTAGGTGCTGCTGCCTGGCACAGACCCCTGAGGGAGAAGCAGCTTTTGGGGAGAGGCACCAGGGGCTGACAGGATCTTGGCCTCCCCCCAGATGGGACACAGGGCTGCCAAGCTGGCCAAGGACACAGGGACAGAGCTGGGCACGGGGCCGGCTGCTTTAGCAGAAAACTATTTTAGGGGAATTCCACGGGGGTACAGAGTGTTACACTGAGAGTCAGCCTGGGATCTGTCCTGGCACTCATGGAGAGTGATCCCACCACAACACCCTGTCCCTGTGACCCAGAGCACCCTCACTGTGCTGTCCCCAAGGCAGCTCTCTGTGCTCCTGCAGGGATTCAGCAGCAGGGACACTCCTTTAGCCACAACACAACATTTCCTGCAGTCCCAGCCCCTTTTCCATGCAGGAGCAGCAGCTGAGCCTCCCCTGGTGCTGGGAAGGAGCAGGGGAGGGGTGCCCTGGCAGTGCCCACCCCGTGCTCACCTTGATGGGCCTCTCCAGCTCTGGCTTCTTGTAGCGCAGCCACATCATCCCGATGATGGCCAGGGCCACACACAGCCAGTTGAAGAAGCTGAAGAAGTTGATGACTGAGAAGATGTTGTTGGAGAAGGCATAGAGCAGGGTCATGACACACTGAATTCAGGGAAAAGGCCATTAGGAAAGGGAGCAAGCAAAACCACCTATGTTACTAAATGGGGGTATTTCGGGGAAATACCTGCCAGGAAAGGGATCCCATTGACTATTTTTTTACTTATTTAAGTTATTTTCAATTGGTGCCTGGAACCATTTCATAGGATCATGGAATGGTTTGGGTTGGAAGGACCTCAAAGCTTGAAGGACCTCTAGTTCCAACCTCCTGCCATCGAACCTATCCCAGGTTCCTCCAGGCCTTGTCCAGCCTGGCCTTGGATACTTCCAGGGCAGGAAGAATTCAAGGCAGAAGTGGACAATGAGGAGACGATGGGAAGGGTCCATCTGCTGTGGGCACATGCAGGGATGGCTGTGGCTCCATCCCAGCCCTGCTCCTCCCCCAGGGCTCACCGTGAACACGAGGGACGGGACGGGGGTGAGCAGCCGGGGGTGGATCATGGACAGGATGGAGGGCAGGTGTCCCTCTCGGGATCCCACGAAGAACAGCCTGGAGGGGACACAGAGAGAGAGAGGGGACACAGCTCAGTCACAGCCCTGCAGGGCTCTGTGCTCAGCACAGAACTAATGGGGCCAGCCTGAGCTCAGCCCTGCTGGCCCTGAGGCAGGAGTGGGACACCAGGACTGGACAGCAGACCCTGCTCACCAGGGACACGGCCAAGGAATGCAGGAAGGATGGATTGCTACCCTGCTCTCCAGGGACAGCAATTAAGTGACTCCTCAGGCAACCCAGGGATGTGTCAGAGCCGGAACCATCTCAGGCCGGCCCCTGCCCAGCCTTTCACCCCTTCCCGAGGGATTCTCAGCCCTGAAGTTTCCCAACTTTCTGCTTCTCATAAAATGCACTTTCTCAGCAGCCCCGAGCCCTGAGCCTGTGTCTGGTTCTGTTTATTGACCTCACCAGGACTTTGCCTGAGGGACAGAAGATTGACACTACTGAAAGGTTGCCTTTAATCTGGTTTGAAGTCTGACTTTGTCTTCCTGCATTCCCCACGTGGCCTCCAGACCCTCCAGACTTTGTGTCTGCCCACAGCCACTCTCTGGAGGAGAACTCCAAAGGGTGAGGAACTGAGCACAGCTTGCAAACAAAACCCACAGGATTGAGCAAGGAACCTACCGGGAAGAAGTGAAAAGAGATCCATTGACAGACCCAAAGCACGAGAGCCCAACAAAGACAGGGATGATCCAGGACATGACACCCAGGTGGTAGTTCCCAAAATCCTAAATGGGGGACAACAAGAGACATTTCACACAATGCCCAAAAAACCTCAAAGAGCTGCCTACAAAGAGTATTTGGAGAAATCTCAACAAATGCCACAGCTCAGTGCTGAAGCTGTGGCAGAGTTTCCCCATATTCCCATGTGCTGCTCCCCTTTCCTGAAAAAGCAGATTGTGGAATTGCTGAAACACATCAGCAGCCAGCCCTTCCCTCGGGGCCAGGACACGACATTTACCCACAGCCATCGGAAAGTTCAAGTTTAAACGGAAACTGTGAGGAAACTCAGACAGCAGCTGCTGCCAAGTGCTGAGGCAGGAGCTGGGAGCCAGCCCTGGGGACACACAGGGACCTGGCCCTGCAGCTTTTTGTCGCAGCCTGAGCCTGTTCTGCTCCACTGCGGGTTTGCACCAACAACACAGGATTGCTTTCCAGCCTCTGCTGTTCCAGGCCAGGCTGGATGAAGCTTGGAGAACCTGGGATGGTGGAAGGTGGGTGGGATGAGATCCCATGGCAGGGGGTGGGATGGGAGGAGCTTTCAGGGCCCTTCCCACCCAAACCATTCCATTCCTGCAGCACAGGCTGTGGCTGGAGCAGGGTCTCTGTCCCAACCCAAAGGATGGAGCGGTGTCACCTGAGGGCTCAGCTCATCCTGGGCTGGGAGACTCCTCCTGAAGCCCTGAACAATCCTGGTCAGGCTCAGTCTGCAAGGTCTGCTCCCTTCTGAAGCCATCAGGGTTCCTGACCCCACTGGCATTTTAACTAATAGAAGTATTATTTTTCTCTCTTAATTAAAACAAGGAAGACACGGAGAGAGAACAATCCAGTTCAGTGTTGACTGAGTGACCTTTCCCCATAAATATCAAGCTCTGGTAACTGATGGGCAGTCACAAGGCCAGCAGCAACCTTCCCTAGCTCAGAAGGAAGAGCAGCACTGAGTGCCACCCTCACTGCTGCCCAGGATAATCCCCTCAGGATCACGCTTTTCTTCCCTGCTCTTTATCTCCTGCTCCACATCAGCGTTTCTGCAAGCAGCCCTGAGCAGCCTGGAGGGAAGCAGGAGATGTGATTCCAAGGCTGATTTCACCTGCCCAGATGAGTCAGGCTGGAGCAAAGGGATCTTACCACGGCCACAGCCTCGGACGTCAGCATCTGCTCGGTGCTCAGCGTGGTGAAGTAAGCCAAGTTGGTCAGCACATACACCAGCGTGACCACAGGCAGGGAGATGATGATAGCCAGGGGCAGGTTCCTAGGAAAAAAACATCCACTGTCCTGGAGCAGCTCTGGGGAGTGACTGCCACCCTCCTGAGCTCGCTCTGAGCCGCTCTGCTCTCTGGCTTTTCTGCTGTGCAGTGTCCCAGGCACACACTGCTCCCAGGGACAGGGGATATCCACAGGGGAACAGGCTGCCCAAGGAGTGGGGGACTCCCCATCCCTCAAAAACACATTGAAGCCATGGTTAGTGCTGAACATGGTGCTGGTTCACAGCCACAAAGGTCTTTTCCAGCCTCAAGGACTGGGTGGCCCCCGAACTGCAGGTGGAGAGGGAAGGATGATGGCAGAAAGAATTTTTTGCCTGGCTGCCTGGGCAAGCAGGAATCCAAGATGACTTTTAATTAAAAATAGCCAGTGACACCAGCATGGGGATTCTCTCTGGGCAAAAGAGCTCCCTTGTGCTGGGGGGATTCCTGGGGGAGATGGGAATCTCAGGGATGCACTGGGCAGTTTTAGGCTCTACCCAAAGTCAGCTCTTTGGACTGAGGGAACTCAGAAAAGGAGTTCAGGCACAGCCTAAGTGGGTCTGTGAACAGCCTGTGCTGGTACAAATATGCCTTTCCCAACAGCTTAATTTCATTTGTGAAGGGAAAGTGCAAAAGGAAGCCCTGCTTGGTGCCACTCTAATTGCTCCAGCAGAGCCCCAAGCTGCAGGAGCGGAGTCAAATACCAGGACTGCATCCAGCAGACATGAAAATAATTGCAAAATGCAGCCCCCCTTTTGCTGTTTCTCTGGGAGGGGGTGGATCCAGCCCTGTGCTTCCCAGCAGGACCAAAGCACCCCCAGGGGCAGCCAGGAGGGGCTCTTGCACAAGTGCCCCCAAGCTCCCAGGCACCTTCCCAGGGGCAGAAGGGATTTCTCAGCACTGTCCTGCCCTGCTGAGGGCCCCAAATGACCCCGAGAGGCACGGGCAGAGCAGGAAGCAGCTCTTGCTCAACAGGATGGGAAGAGCACGGGACAAACACATGGAGAGCAGCACAAACACATGGACAGCAGCACAAATGCTCAGTGGGAGTTGAAGCAAGGCAGCAATAAAGCCCTGAGTGCTCTTTGCTGGCCCATAACTCACAGAGGTGTCAGGCCAAGGAAGCAGAGATCTCTCCCAGTGCTGATAACATGGCACGGAGAGCAGGGAAAACAACAGCCCTGCTCCTGCAGGGATTATTGTTCCCTTGCCCTGATTCCAGGGAGGTGCAAGGTCATTAACTCATCTTGTTTTCTCTTTTTCCAGATGAAGACCTTGGCTTCCTCCTCTGTTAAACACACGAGGAAGGGACTTCCCCAAAACAGCAGCTTTTCCACCAGGGAAGTCATGCCAGGACTCACACCTACCTGTAGGGATTTATCATCTCTTCTGTCACAAAATTCAAGTAATTCCTGTAATTTCAAAAGCACAGGGATTAATTCTGGTTAAATAACCCCCCCTAGTTTAACTCATCTGCACAGGGATTCCAGGAGGGGCACAGGCACTGATCCTGTGGGAAAATGAGGATGGCTGATGTCCAAGGCCAGGCTGGACAGGGCTTGGAGCAGCCTGGGGTGGTGGGAGGTGTCCCAGCCCATGGGATGATCCTGAAGGTCCCTCCCAACCCAAATCATTCCCTGATGAGGATGGCTACAAGTGGCCTCTTTTCACAGCAAATCGAGAGCAGGTGCTCAGAGGACTGACAAGGGAGCCCTGCAGGAGCTTCAGTTTGGAATAGCTGGAGCTGGAATTGAGCTCAGTGTGGAAAGGAGAGGGCTGTGCCTTACCATCCTCCATAGGCAAAGAGGCCGCTGTACAGAGCCAGCACGATGTTCCCAACGCCCACCTTGGTGCCCTCGAAGGATTTCTGAGGGGTCAGGTTTTCCACATCACCTGCAGGACACAAACCCTGCTCAGTGCCACGGGCTCTGGACCCCAAAGGCCTCCAGAGAAACCTGGAGGCAAGAGCTGCTCTTAGGATGGAGTTATTGCAATTATCACCCTGCAGCTTTTTGAGTTATGCTGAGCATGTTTTCCCTACAGTTTTCCAGGGTTCATTCATCCCCACATGATGACCCCAAAAACTCATCTCAAGCAAGAACTGACTCCTCCAAACTTTCTCACACTGCGACGTGCTGTCACCAAGGTGATGTCCCAGGGCCATCCTGGGGACCTTCCTGCTGGAAGATGCTTTGCAAACAGAGATTGTCACATTGTCCTCTCAACTCCAGGCTGCTGGCCTTCGATAAAGCCCCAGGATTTCCTGCACTTCCACCAGCCACCCAAACCCCCAGAAACCCAGGATTTCCTCCAGTCCCACCAGCCACCTGATAAAGCAGAGGCCTGTGGCAATCCCTTTGATTGAGGGAAGTCAGGTTCTGGGGGTTTGGATATCAGAAGTCACCTTCTTTAGGGCCTGATGATCAAAAGTTCCTGTTGTGGATCTGCTTTTGAAAGAAAACGCCAGAAATAGAAGATTTGATTGTGCCTCTGGTCCCAGCTCTCCCCGAGCAGCCCCAGGTTTATTTATTTTGCTTTCAAATGCTCTGCAGTTGTTTTGTTCCGTGTCTTTGATGGAGGGGCTGGCTGTGGGACAGGGATGGCAGAGCCACGCTCCCAGGCTGAGCGCAGGGAGCTGTGGTGGGATCCAGAGGGGCACCTCTGCACCCAGGGGGAGCCCATGTGATTCCTCTTAGGGCACAGAGCTCTCCTAATCACCCCAGCAACTGCATCACAAGGCAGTCAGCAGGGCCTGCAGCTTAACCCTTCATCCCTCGGCACTGGGCACCCAGGAGGTGCTGCAGGAAAAGCTCAGGGATGCTCCACAAAGCCCAGGTGAGCAAGGCTCCTCCTGCCCACATCCCAATCCCTGTTCTCTGCTGGAGTCACCTCTTTCCCAGCAGCTCCTTGCACCAGAAAGGTTCTTCCCTGAATCTCCCTTGGGATGCGCTGGATGTATTTGATCCTCCTCAGCAAAATGCACCAATCCTTTTTAAAAACAAATCTGAGTGCAAGAGGAGAGCCAGGAAAAGCAGAGACTGATAAAAGGCTGAGTTTAACCTCAATTCCTGCCTTGCAGGTTCTGCACAGAATCCCAATTTAGCCCAGGTGAATCAAAGGGCTGAGCAGGAGGGGTGGAATGTGATCCCCTGCATCCCTCGGGCTCAGCTTTCCCCACCTCATTTTCTGCCCTTCCTGAATAATTACCAGTCTGGTTCTTTCCAGGCCTTTTGTTATGGGAATAAGAGACACACTTTGTTCACAGTGCCTGCAATTAGCTACTGCACCAGCACATGGATGGACTGGGAGAGCAGGAGGCTCTCCAGCATTTCAAACACCCCTCAGGATATCTCTTCTCAAAGGTTTCAGGCTCTTCTAGTTCCCACCCTGATCATGGACCATCACCTTCACCACCCAGGAGGATGCTCCCATCTTGGAGCAACACGAGCACCACTCCATTTCTTGTCCACAGCTCTTCCAAAACCCTCCTTGTCTGTCACAGGCAAAACCCTTTCAGGTCAAATATTTCTTCTCCTGAGGCAGCCAACACCTCACTGCCCTTCCCACCTCACCTTTGGAGAGCTGGAGCTCCCCAAAACCTCCCAGTGAGTTGTTAAATTTCTTATTTCTGTGCCCCAGGGTCAAATGGATTTAGCAACATGTCAGGACACAATTAAATTAAACCATAGGAGTGCCTGTATCTCACCAGCCACAGCATAAAAGAATTCTTCCTTGTATCTAATCTAAACCTGCCAGTTTAAAACCTCATTCCCTTAACAAGCCCTGCTAAAAAATCCTGGAATTATTTAGGTTTGATCCTAATTTGGACCTTTGATGCAGCCCCACCCTGTGAAGCCGGGGTGTGCTGTAGGAGCAGGGTTTGCTGCACCATCTCCCAGGCACTCCATCCTTCAAGCCTCGACAATTCCAGCCCCAGGCTTTTGAATCTGCCTGAAATTAATGTTACAAATGTGCAGGTGATGCTGCCAAGCACGGCCTTGGGGCATCCCCAGCTCATCCCGGCCTCCAGGCACTGCCCTGCCCCTGCCCGGCACCCTGGAGAGCCCGAGCCTGGTTTGAACCGGCTGTTCCACCGCACTCTGCTCTACAATTAACCAAATTAAGGTAACGAGCTGTGACACAAAGCCCATTTGCGGCTCCTCCAGCTGCCAAGACTGCGGTAATTGTGCCGGGTCAGCCGGGGCCCTGCCGCGGGAGGGCTGAGGGAGGGCCCGTGAGGCGCTGCGTGTCTGTGCCCGGCCCTTCCTTCAAAAATGTTCATTTGCTCCCTGGTCATGTCTAGTCTGGTTTTAATAGCACAGCAATCTTCTCCTGCACAAAGCATTGCAGGATAATTAAATATTTTCAACTTGCCCCAACAGCGAGGAGAGGGAACTGGGCCATGGGGAGAGAGATCCCTCAGCACGGGGAGAGGGAGCCCTCAGCACGGGGTGTTGTACCCAGAGACCCAAAGGAGGAGGAAAAACAGGGACAATTCAGGGAACTGAGTCAGGAAAAGAAGTGTTTGACACCTGATTAATGTGATTAATGTGCAGCAGGAGGCTGCTGTGATTTACAGGGGCAGGGTGTGGCAGCTGTCCCCGCTGACAGGGGAGGATGAGGAAGGAGCCTCCCTGAGAAGCTCCATGCTGGAAAAGCATGGCAGGTGGTGGCATTGGGGTGCCAGGGGACAGCAGCAGCAGGGAATGCTGTCCCTGCCATCCTCCTGTGCCCTCAGGATGTTCCGTACCCATTTGGAGGATCCTGGTGGGAGCCAGGCTGGGCTGGGTGAGGACATCCCCCTGCTCGGGGCTCCAGACTCCCCTCACAGCACCAGCCTTGTGCCAGGAGCCCTGGCTGACCATGGAACCTGGACTGCTTTGGGTTAAAGGGACTTCAAAATTCCTTCCATCCCATGGCAAGGACATTTTCCACTGTCCCAGGCTGCTCCAAGCCCTGTCCAGCCTGGCCTTGGGCACTGCCAGGGATCCAGGGGCAGCCACAGCTTCCCTGGACACCCCAGCCAGCTCTGCCATCCCCACCCCAATACTGCTTGTAAAACACTCTTTAAAAGTAATATTGGGGTTGAAAATCCTGAACTCTGCTGGGAGGGCTCTGAAAGTATCAGAAGGAAGATTTAGATCTTCAGTGAGCAGAGCTTGGCTCTTAAAATGCCATTTTTAGTACTCCAGGTGCAAGGAAATGTCTGGCACTGTGGGGTTGAGACATCTGGGTGCTGCTTTCACTTATCAAATCTCTTTTGCTACAAAACGCCCTTTTGGCCTCTGTATTTCTCCCTGGGGGTTATTTAGGCGGCTCCCAGTCCACATTTTTTTCTCTGCCTATTTCTTTGGATAAAGAATCCCATGATTTAGAGATAGAAGGAAGGAAAATTGAGTCTCTGTTCCTTTCCTCCCAGGCTTGGAGCACCCTCAGGGAAGGTGTCCCTGTCCATGGCAGGGGTGAGACTGCAGGAGCTTTGAGGTCCCTTCCCACCAAAATTATTTCATCATTCTGCAAAAAACAAAAACAAAAACCAAAACAACAAAAAACCCAAACCAAAACAAAAACCCCAAACAAACAAGATAACAAGGTTAAAAAACCAAACCAAACAAAAAACAATGAAAAAAAGCCCAACTTAAACCCAAATCTCGTGCCCAGCCTAAGCCCTGCTCTGGAGTTAAACCTGCCTGCTCTGTCCTTAACTGACCCCGAGCTGCTCTGGCAGATGCAGCTCTGCATCCCTGACAGCCCAAGGGAGGGAGGCAGGTAGAAAAATGCTGCTGCCACCAAACAGCTCCTGGAGGCACCACAGACCAGGAATTTCACAGTCAGGATAAAGAAAAGGGACAATAAATAAAGGGATAATAAATCCAATAAAAGCAATTCAATAAAATCAGTGTTAAATTCTGTTTCTCCAAGTCCCAAAGGCCCAATTCCAGGTTTTTAAGCAGAGCTGCTGGTGAGAGATCACAGCAAGGGCTGGAGCTGCATCTCTGCTTCAGCTGCCTGAGGGCACAGAAATATTCCAGAAACCCTGAGGCATCAAACACAGGAATAAATAGATGTCAAACATGTGTGTGATATGTTTATTTCTGGATTTTTGACTTCAAAACTCTGATCCTCTCTATGTTTTAAGTTATTTCTATAAGTAATTTATTTAAGTAAGTTATTTATTTAAATTTAATTTATTTATTTCTATTGTTTGCAGGCTAAAATCTGGGGGCCATACACAAGATTTTACAAACCAATACCCAAATCCAGGACTTTTCAAACCATGCATTTCCAGCCCCAAAAAGGCTTTTAAAAGTTTCACTCTTGGATTAATAAAATAATTTCATCCCAAGCAGCTCAGTTCCACTGAGTCAACCTCCAAGCACTTGAAAGGCTGAGTAGGAAACCAACTTCAGCCTCCTCCTTTGGAAAGGGCAGGGAAGGAGTGATGGGAAACAGCTGCTGACAGGGAAATGTTCTTTTTGTGGGCAAAATTGCCACAGAGTCCTTTGTCCTTGAGAGATCCCTGCTCTTCTGCAAACCAGGAAAAGAGCCAAGGAGAGGATAAAAAGAGAAAAAACCAAAGGCTGAGGGTGGGAGGTTAATGCAGAGAGATCTTCTGTGAAATCACAGAAATTTCCACATTTGAGCAACAAATGTGGTGCTGCTCCTCTGGTCTGTTGATGGATACTGGGAACACAAACCAGCAGTGGGATGAGAACCAGTAAAACCAGTTCATTGTCCAGAATATCCCAGGAATACACAACCCCATCCCCCTGAAAACTGGGTGCAGATCTCACCCCAAAAGTGCTGCCAGCTTGGATGGGGTCACCCAGCTGCTGGTGGGAAGAGTCTTTGTCCAAAAAAACCAACACTGGAACGGGCACAGGGTGTGGAAATGTGGGACAAAGCTGGAGGACAGGGCAGTGCTCTCCCATTGTCACTGAAAATGGGAATTTTTGTCCTTTTCTTGAATTAAAAAATGAAGAAAAAAGACATTTTCTTGCTGTATCCCTGCTAAAAGCACAGAGTGAGCTGGAATGATTGAAAGGAAAATGGAGCAAGGTGGGAGCTGAGGAAGGGACAGGAAAGGAGCTTGTACATTCTCAGGGACTTAGCACAGAGCTTGGAACTTCCCAAAGGAGATTAATGAAATCCATGCTGGAGCCCAGACAGAATCCCAGCTGTGGGATTCTGGAAAAGCAGGAATGGGCATTGGGACAAGGTGGGAGCCAGGATCTGCTGTGGATCCTGAGGATCCCACTCTGCTCCTGTCTGGTTTGAGGGTTGGCTGCTCAGACAGGGAGAAGTTTGCTCACAGGTGTCACTGTCCAGGAATGGCTTTTGATCTCCCTGCCAGGTGGATCAGCAGGAAAATAAATCACATGGAATTCTCTGCCCTGCAAGGTCTGCACAGCCACAACCACCCAAAACTTCAAAGGAAGGAAAACAACTCCTGGGACACAGGAGGGGAAGGGGGGATTTATTGTAACAGGGCAGAAATCCCTTCTAGGTTACAGAGAAATCAAGGGAAACCTCATGGATTTCCACCTGAGGAAGCAGGGCAGAAAGTGGCTCAGCCTCCCCAAAAAGGCCAAAAGAACAGCACATTCTGAAGATGCAAATTAAGATTCTATCTGCAAACAAAGCCCAGTTGTAAAGATCTTCATGGTAAAATGTTAACCAGCTCAAAGAGATTTATCCTGATTTATCCCTTTCCTCCTGGGAGAGAATCAGGTCCAGCAGAGCAGGCTGGGGAGCTGGGCAGAGAGAGGAGGTGTGTTTTCTGATAAGCCTCAAACAATGTCCCTGTTGAGTGTCTGCACTGAGCTGGAAGAAAATAAAACCTCTGACAAAGCAAGAAATTCTGCAAAGACAGCACTGGCTCCCAGAGCTGAGACAGGAATTACAGAGCCACGAGCACACAGACTCACCCCTGTGCAGGGACACAATTCCCTGGAGATTTTATCCCCTCTCAGCTAACAAGGACAGGACTGTTCCTCCAAACACATTTATTCCCACAAAACTTGCACAAAAAAAAGCCACACTTTGGTTTAACTGTCAGTTAATCAGGTTTGGAACAAACTCGGATGGGTTTGGAACAAACCATCTCCCTGCTGTGAGAGGATTTTATGGGTGCATGAAGCAAACCAGCAGAAGCACCAGAAAATCTGCTTTATCTTCCCATTTCTGTCTCCTTTTCCAGGTGCCAGTGCCAGCTGAGAGCTCTGATCTCTGCTCCTTTGGGCTCTGTGTCCCTGGGTGACCCAGAGCTGGCCTGAGCCACTGCACACCTGGAACAGGATGAAGGGAAATGTGCAGGGGGAGTTTGTGCAAGGATTAAGATGACTGGAAGAGGTTTGCACATGCAGATAATTCTCTGTGAGCAAAACGTTACAAAGAGATTTCCCAGTGCAGCAGCACCAATATTTTCACTCCCAAAGGGAGAAATCTCTCTCTGTGTAAGTGGGAAAGAGTTTAAGTGGTTTCAGGAGCATGAAATCAAGCCTGGCAGTGATATAAAATATGAAATCCCACAAATAAAACACAAAACCCCAGACTGTGGCAAAGCTGGGAACATTCCCTAAGGACGAGAGATTGGGGAGGTTTGTAAAGCTCTGGAACACCTGGGGTTGGACTCCTGCTTTGCCCAGAAGGAGAAAAGGAGCAGCACTCACTCAGCCCCTCA